CCCAAAATTCTCAAAATGATTTTCCAATGGAAAAATATATAATTATATTTGATCCCATAGACAAAAAAAAATGCAAAACTGAAAATAGTAGTCAGAAATAAAAATAATTGTGAGGAATATAAAAAGTATCTCGACAAAGATAGTATTACTACATAATTCCTAGAGAGAAAATCACGAGGATGAATATTATAGAGGCTAAGTTTTCTGATATTGTTATTTTGTAATTTTCATATGGTTTTTGGATACATGCCAAAAATGTACTTAAATGTGATTTTAAAAAGGAGACTTATTTGATTTACATATATATCAAATTTGACTTATATATAAATGGGTAGCTAGAAAGGCATTTAATACCTAAATAATGGACTTTAAAATTATCAATATAATGCAGTGATATGTTACTTGTAGACAAAAAATGGAGTATTTTGTATAAATATTTTTTAAATGATTTGCACAAGATATGTTGTGTTGAAAAAATACTAATGAAATAATGGAACATGAAGGTATGTTTCTAAATACTAATGAAATGTAGTTGTAGTTTAAATTCGATGTAAAAATTAGGGAACAAAGTATTTTGTGGGGTACAAACTTCATATTTTCCTTCAATGATATGATGCCTTTAGTTAGAAAGTAATGTACACCAAGTTCTCACATCCTTGAAAGTTTTAAAGCAAATTTATGAGGTCATAACATGAGCCCATGCTGGTTTTCATATATTTTTTGGACAACTTTCAATTATTTTTTAATAAGTTGCAAGTAATACTAGTGCAGGAACTGCCTTATAGGATTTGCTTATTTGTGTCGATGACAAAGACGCACACCACAAGAACATGATAAAATACCAGTGGCTTGCAACCAAAACAAGGACGTCACTAGCAAGTATGTAGTAGTAGTGCGCTGACCTACTCAAACTCCACTAGTGATTGCCACCCAGAAGGGTGCCAACCCAACATTACTAGTGGCACGCGAGGAAGGCACATGCCACTGGTTCTTTTTATATTAGTGCCATGCCCATGACGAGGGACGCTACTGATGAGAATTTGTGGAGGGTTACAGTATGGGTCGATTAAATCTACCTGGACGATGAGAATGATGTTAGATGGATCTCGAACTACCCCTGGCTTGGCCTTGTAAGGGGAGGGGGGAGGCTTAGGGTTACAAGTTTCCTAACCAACCCCGAGCCCTGGTCGATTGAGGAGTCCTTGGCTTGCATGCCAAGATGAAGAACCTTCTAGAAGCCAGGACTCCTATCATGGGGAAGGGCCTAAGTCTCGCCCATTAATGGGATTCCATGGGCCACCCCTGCCATAGTACATCGTCAGTGTTGATCGTGTAGTTTTTGAGTTTGTGGAATAGACTGTTCATTCTCTCCGAGTGTATAGGCCAATTGCATTTTCACTAAAGAATGAGATAGAGAGAATTCAAACGAGTGCGGATTTTTGGGGGCCGAGCTCCAGTGAGCTCGGTATTTTGAAAAAAAATTCAAAAAGTGTATTTAAAAGTTCCAAAAAATCTGAAACAATACAATGAAAACTTATATGTATTCCGCAAGAACGTGTTAAATTTCGTCGAAAAATTTTGTGATTTGTAGGCTGTACAAAAATAACAAATTTCTGGCCCAATAACAAAAATAAAAGGCCCATTAAAAAATGTGTATTTGTCCTTTTCCTGTACGCCACATGTAAATGTAAAATACTGTGAAATTTTGCATATACATAGTATACATGTGCATGTGTGTTCAAAAAATAAATTTAGAATTTTTCATGCTAAAAAATTAAAAATTAAAAACGAGCTCACTGGAGCTCGGCCTCCGTTGGCATTTTCCGAACACACTACATATAGATTACAAGGCAACCAACTTGCCATTTGAGCAAATGTGTAGTTATGAAACAAGTGGACAAGATATTTTAATATACCATATCGTACTACTTTGTCCATGTGCGAGATGACGACGTCACGTCTGCTAGATACGCCAATAGAGATGTTGCGGCTGAAACCACATGCAGTCAGAAGCGCCAAAAGAACTAGCGTGCATACCTTAGAGGTTAGAGATGATTGATGTTTCGAAGGGTGAGTTGAGTGCTTAAGATCTAATGAATGTCATTTAGTACAAATATTTTCTTAGACGTACCAATTTCTATACTTGATGGGTGATGGAATCATGAAGTAGCCGTTCCGCGGGGAGTAGCAGCTATTTCTTGCCCTTTGCAATAGGTAAGTAGGTCTCGCCTTTGGCGCAGCGGTACTGGGCTGGCCATGTACTGCACTTGTCATGCGAGTTTTTTTCAGTGGCTTTTTTTATCGGGTTTTCACTGTTTTGCATCGGTTTTCTTCGGGTTTGCTTCGGCTTTTCTTTGGTTTTCCTTCATTCTTCAATTTTCAAGGTTTTTATTCAATACATGTATATATTTTTTTCTTACACATTGTACATTTTCCGTATACATCAGAACCTTTTTTACACATCTAACATTTTAAATACACAATTAACATCTTCAAATATATGTTTTGATGTCTACTTTTTCATACACATAATAGATTTTTCATACACATCTAAAACATTTTTATACATGTTAAACATCTTTTTAGATACATGTTTTTAAATATTTTTTCCGTGTGTGTTAAAAAAATCAAACACACGTTGAAATCTATTTTTTAAGTTATACAAACATTTTTTTTAAACTATGGGACATTTCTTAAACTGTATAAATATTTCTAGAAAAATGTCACAAACATATTTTTGAAAGATTTGAATGTTTTCAATGTAATATACATTTTTTGAATGCTATAAACATGTTTTAATTACACAAATATCTTTCTTACATTGGCCCCATTTTTCAAAAAGTATCCCGTACTTTTTTGAAACATGTGAACATTATTCCAGTGATATATACATATTGTTTGAATGGTAAGACTATTTTCTAAAACTCGAACGAATATATTTTATACTGCATGACCATTTTATAAATATTCTATGAACATATTAAAAAATTGCTAAATTAATTTTTCATAATATATGAGCATTTTTTAAAATATAATGAAAAATAAAAGAGGAAAAAAGTGCATGACAACAACATGACGATCCTACATCACTAGTGGGTCAACCTACTACCATTTTCATGTAGGCGAGCCGAGCTACTGTCTCACAGAGAACGAGTCATTGCCCCCGGGAGGGGGAGGGGGGGGGGACCTCTATATCTCATCTTCAGCGAGTCCTGCTTCCGACTCGCTGAAGGGGCGAGCAAGATGAGCCTATAGGACAAATGCTTTCTATCACCAGTGATAGATACCACCACTTGCCTTTTGTATATCATATATACTATTTATCAAAACCGAGAGTATGTACATGTAGTATGTACTATATAACAATGTTTAGGTAGTGTATATATTACCTTTTAAGTAGTATGTGCCATATTTTGAGCATACCCTTTTTTACGTACAAATATGTCCGTATTTCACAAATATGTCACAAGCTATGGGCTCATATGCAATTTTTCGTCTAACTTGCTTT